ACTTGGTGAAGTCAATGACATACGCCAAGACATGTGAAAAAGTTTGCGCAGTGGTTTCAACGTTATCAGGGTCCAGGACGCTTCCCCAGTCTATGCTAGACAGCACGTCGATGATACTACTATGATCAGCTTTCCGAAAATCGTATGACACGTTTGTGCAAATGTCTTCAAAACGTGACTATCTTGGACAGTGACAACGAAAGGAGAATGATGAGGAACTTGCTTTACTAGTGGAGAAGGTGCCGTGGAGATAACTGGAGCAGTGTCCTGAGCGCTAACGAAACAGAGGTCTAAGCTTCGATTGTTCTCGTTAACTACGTCATTGATTTGAGATAGGGTTGCTGCACTCTAGCTAACTGATCCTGTATGAAATACAGACCGTACAGGGTCTGGATAGAGAAAGCCACTGTGAGATGGTTTCCACGAAACACCAGCTAGATTGAAGTCACCCAGAACAATTATCTCATCAACTGGAGTTGCAGTTTCCATTACGGCGAAAACGGACCGACAATGGGTTTCGATAAGTTCGTTGTCCCGAACACGGTCAGGAGCAGTGCTGTAAATTTTCATATCATTCGATTGAAGATGAACCAATACAACCATTCAATCAATTCTGTGTAAACGAATTCTCATATGACCATAATTTGAAGAGCCCTTTTCTCATTCGAAGCTCATTGTCACTGTCAATTGAGTCACTCACTATCATTTGATATACGACAGTGGAGTATGGAAGAAATCCAGCAAAATGGTCCAGAACAGACAAGTCGACCCGATGTCGGATCAATGTAAGGCTAATTTAAGGTCGCTGTCGACCAAATGTCGTGTTGTTGTCGGGTCAATTTTGGGTTTATGTCGGGTCAATGTCGGGTCAACATCGGGTTGGGGTTTGATAGAAGTCAGGTTGGTGTCGGGTTGGCTTCGCTTTTTCGCCGGAATGTCGATCAGAGCTCCGTTTGTGTGTAGGTTACACTCAATTGAATGATATATAGCGTTTCTCAAATGAGAATGATCCATGCCTTCGTCAAATGACTAAGCAACTGATATCACCCATTCGGAGGAGGTCCCTTTTGATAGCGAATGGCTAGTTTTCTCATTTTCATCAAAAATGTTCAAATGATTTTGAGAATTTACAGCACTGGTCAGGAGCAATGCACACTGCATATATATAAGTACAGAGTGTGATCACTCAGTTCAGCGGCAACCCATGCTTGTTCCACACAGTCCCACAAAGCTCTCGTCTTCAAACCGGAACGGACTGTCACAAGAACACCACCTCCATTAGATTTCCGAATGTTTTAAGGATTTCGATCGCAGCGAAAGACTTCATACTCGCGTCCAAACGCCTGGCTGGAGAGCGTTCGAGAATCGAGGCAAGTCTCGGTTAGAACGATGACATCATAGCAACGGTCCGATTCAGCTAAGCGGTAGTCGTTAACACCAGAATTCATTCCACCGATGTTCTGGTAATAAATGATGACGTCTTGTTTATGACATATTATGGTAGCACGACGTTGGACGTTATTCCTGGAAATCACGGAAACATCAGGCAGCGAACGAACATTAACATTACCATCCGGATACTCGCCATAGTGAGTGGGTTGGAAGACCCCTTCTCCACATCCAACCACAGGCCCGGAACGACTATGAAGATCGTAGGCGGCAGACGGCAGGACTGGGTCGGAGGGATTGGGGGCTTCCACAATGCTTTCTACGGCGCGATCCAAGTAACAGGTGTTAACGAAACGTTTCCACGATCGGCGACATCCAAATTTCAGCGAACATTTCGAGCATTAATGTTTAAACATTGAAAGATGTAGTGAAATCTGCAGGCTGATCGGAATCGGAAAAGCACTGTACAGTCAGGAATCCTTATTGCCGGGGTAACTGGGGCGTGAATAAGGAACCGCGAATAAGGATACCCACAGCTTATGGGATTTTCACTAATAGGGGCTGTGGTGGATTATCTCATTTATTTCAATATATAGAGCTATACTGTCTTCGACAAATATGTTGTACTGGGATAGACCAACAAGTCATTGGATTCAGTTTTAATTTGGAACTACGCCGCTAGAGGCGCTTCACTTTTATGTTACTTATGACGGGCGTTATAATATATAGGTCCAACATAGAATATTTCGTGAACCTGGCCATATAGAAAGTTACTGTCTTGAGCAAAGTTGTTCAAGTGACCAAGTCCTTTCGGATGGTGGCCATTTTAGTTCAGAACTCTCTCACTACGCAGCGCTAGTGTGCACATGAGCTTGCTATATAAGCTGTATCTCAAAATCCTGTTACTGTCTTCAGCAAAGTTGTTCAGGTGATAATGTCCTTTTGTATGGTGTTCATATTAGTTCAGAACTCTCTCACTACGCAGCGCTAGTGTGCATGTAAATTTCCTATATAAACTGTATCTCGAGAACCTGACCATATAGAACGTTGCTGTCTTCAGCAAAGTTGTTCAGGTCCAAGTCCAAGTCCGGGTCCAAGTCCAGTTGACCAAGTCCTTTCGGATGGTGGTCATATTATTTAAGAACTCTCTCACTACGTGGCGGTAGTGTGCACATGAACTTCCTTAATATGGTATTTCTAGACAGCTTGTCCATATCAGATGTTGCTGTGCAATGCGAGGACACGAAACGGAATAGGAATGACGTGTAGAGAGGCTGTAAATCGATTTCGGACGCCATTTTAAAATCCAAAATGGCGGTCATCGATTCAAAAAAAAACTGTCAAATACCCTACAATATGGGTATTTCCAGAAAGGGTACAACGTGTAGAGTCCGGAAATCCATGCCAGACGTCATTATGAAATCCAAGATGGTGGCATCGGTTCAACAAAAACTCGCAAATACCATACAATATGGGTATTTTCGGAAAGCGGATGACGTGTAGAGTCCGGAAACCGATGCCAGACGTCATTTTGAAATCCAAGATGGCGATCATCGGTTTAATAAAAACTGTCAAATACCATACAATATGGGTATTTTCGGAAAGCGGATGACGTGTAGAGGCCGGAAATCGATGCCAGACATAATTTTGGAATCCAAGATGGCGGTCATCGGTTCAAGAAAAAACTGTCAAATACCCTACAATATGGGTATTTCCGGAAAGGGTACGACGTGTAGAGACCGTAAATCGATGCCAGACGTAATAACTGGAAAAAAAACTGTTATATTACAAAATATGGGTATTTATTTTGGATATGGAACGACGTGTAGAGATCAAATATCGATGCCAGACGCCATTTTGAAATTTAAGATGGCAGCCTTTGTTGTAACGTGAACTATTAATGGGGACGACGTGTATAGGCCCAAAATCGATGTCTGGCCCCATTTTGAGATCCAAAATGGTGACAATTGGCTTTCGAAGGGACTATGGACAGCCTCGTATCAGTTCAGCACAGTTAACGTGGACCGTGTACACCCCGATAATCCACTAGGAAGATGAATTTTGTCTTATTAATGTTTTAGGGTATTTTGAAGCTCAGAATCTTGCCTCGTCTTAATTTTCCTGAATAATGCTTCCCAATCATATTGCGTATAATTTGTATTTGTATCATTGAGCAATATGGCAACGTTTCGACTTCCCTTAGCAAATCTTGAATTTTTGCACTCTGTTCGACATTACTGTCCAATGTGCAGAAGCTTTCGAACTCGAAGAGTTGATTTATTTTTAACTCGATTCCTGCCGTGGTGAGATGAAAATATAATCCATATTCATTGTAGATGGGTCCAGTTCGCTAACAATTTCATCTGCTGTAGCCGGTTCATCTCTTATGATTTCGTTGATTTCACCGTGTTTCTTATCCCCGGCGCCTTGATGCCTTGATCAAGGGGTTAAATCAAAGACGTGATCTTTGGTGGCATGTCAAAGTCATCCGGAGTCTCGAAAAGCGGACCTCACGTCACGTCACGAAAAGCGCACCTCGAGAAGTTTTTGTTTACTTCTTCCATATTCCCGCCGCCACTCACTCGAGGTGAGGGCTGGCTAAACTCGCACGACAAGAGTGTTTTAAAACCTCCAGTTAGGTTGAGGAGTTTCAGCAAGCCTGGTATTTTGAGGGTTTGCCATAGATTCGTTGCCAAGGCCGTTTGTTTTGAATCCGCTCCTCTTTCATCCTGGACCCTCTCTACGGTGGATTATGGAAAAGAAAGATTTTATTACAATTAACAAATAATATGGTAGTCAAACTAGCTTTTCATAGATGATTAAGGTGATTCCTTGTAGAGTCCACAAATGGTCGCCCAATGTATACATGCACTTCCACTTCGAATTTTCAGTTACACAAATCTCGGAAATCGGTGCACCATTTCACCACGTCGACGTATGATTTTAGAACTCCCTTCCCTCCCAGATAATCAGTTAATTTTTCTATTTAAATTTTTATCGACCGTTTACACTAGCAATTCTCCGTCCCCTCCCTGAAATATTCACGTGGTTTATGGACAACGTCTAACATTGTTTTAGCATTTAATGTGGTATTGACATATGAAATAGTAGTTTTCAAATTTAAAATTTTGTGGCAATACGGGTATCAAATGAAATAAATTCATGGTGGTAAAATAGCCTTTAAAGCAAAAAGTCTTACCATAGAGGTGCTGCTACGTAAGATTCTTTAAATAGTATGATCTCGTGCATCGTACACTGCAAGCACGCGAAGCCGCCATACTTACAGATTATAAATGACCCTCAACGAACGAGGTGATAATTACGGTCAGACCACGTCTAAGTACCGACGGATATTTGCTTCCAATGAATATCCTTTAATTGAGTGGCCGAACATCTTCTTTCATCGCTTTGCTACCAAATCTAGCCTTTGATTCTGATATTATCACACCCGAAAATGGCGAATCAAACTCCCCGAACCACTTATTATATGCCGTGATACAGATATTTCCCCCACATACATGCACACCGTCCATAAAATATTCATTGAACTGATTCTCATTATTACAATGTTCGTTCTTCCTTCTCTGCTCGCCTCCCCCCCCCCGCCGCAGCAATCCAACAACGATTCAACCAAACTAAATCGAAAGGAATCCTACAAAGCACAACGAAAGAACTACCGCCGCGAGAAGAAACGGGTCGCCTCGGAGCTGCTCAATTCGCTCCAGGACCCGGCCGTGATTGTCCTGGCCGATTGGCTAAAGGTAATTATTGTTGGTTATGCCTTTTGAATGCCAATACATTATTAGTCAATTATCGCTATTCCAGATCCGGGGGACACTCAAATCGTGGACGAAGCTGTGGTGCGTGCTAAAGCCGGGACTGTTGTTCATCTACAAGAGCCCCAAAACCAAAGGCAGCCATTGGGTCGGAACGGTGCTGTTGACTTCCTGCCAGGTGATTGAGAGGCCCAGCAAGAAGGATGGATTCTGTTTCAAGCTGTTCCACCCGATGGATCAAACGATATGGGCCCCACGGGGGCCGGATAAAGAGACGATGGGTTAGTTGATGGCGTAGTTTTTGTTTTCCTTTGCCAGTCCTAATGGTTGTGATTTATTTTCAGGTGCCGTCGTCCAACCGTTGCCCACATCCTACCTCATATTCCGAGCTCCCAGCCAGGCTGCCGGAAAGTGTTGGATGGATGCCCTGGAACTGTCACTGAGATGTTCGGCGCTATTGGTACGATCCGTACCGGTAATCGACACTAGCACCCCGGAAGGAGCTACCAGCACCCACGAGACACAGTGGTCCGAGGCGGACTACGAGAAGCACTTTGACGAACATGGTGAGTTCCTGAAGCCTTCCGACCTGTGTCACTCTCAAAATCCTTCTTCTTTAGTTCCCGATACTAATTCGTCTGTTTTCTCTCGATTTCCGTGTCCAAAATTGCTTTGTATCGCTCGTTGATTGTCGTACAATAATACTCGCTCACACTAACTGTGTTCGGTGTCATCTCCACCTTGTGTCCATCTTAACCGATGAATTACTCTTGCTAACCATCCGTCATCATCTCCCCGATGTAGTCCCCAAATTGAAAGAGCACCTTAACTACCTAATGAAGTACCTCCCGCCGTCCCCACCGGAGTCAAAGACCCTCCACGTAGAACCGATCGAAAAGTCCTTCCACCGTAGTCCTTGTCCCTCGCCGACTCCCATCTTTCAGCAGCTGTACCTGGCAGTGGCCCACTGGGAGCGGTATCTTCGCGATTCGCCGGATTTGCTTCGCTATCCCAACGATCAGGGAACATTGTCCCCTGCCGGCACCGATGACGATGTGTTCGATGAGAATGATGACTTTTCCATTGGGAGCAGACGCGGTTCACTGCAGGTTGGATACTCGCCTGGTCCCCATGGGAAATTACTGGAAAGTACCGACGAACAGCGCCAGCGGCGCCGCAGCAGTCCGGCCGAGTTCAACAAGGAGTGCGGAACCAGTGGCATTACGATTCGGATCTCCGACGGTCAATGTTAGATGTTGTTCTTTTCTATTGATAGATTGATTTTTGTGTAGCGATGCTCGGAATTCGCGGCGTGTGATTCTAACCAATTTGTCTTGCAATTTTAGACTTGGACATCGACAGCCAGCCGGACCAGGGCACGTTGGTCATGTCGGCCGGGGAGTCCGATTCGGAGTCCGACATGGGCGAGGGCTTGGAGGTGGAAGAGTTTCCTGAGACACCGTACGTGCACTCGTCGGAGGAGGAATTCGGAGCGGTAGGATCCCATTCGATCACATTCGTGCCTAAAGAATTGGTTTGAAGCTTTTGTTTTCGAAATAAAATAACAGGCTGGTGAGCAGGTGGAGGAGCTACCCGAGGAGCACAAGAGCCTGATTTGGTTCCTGGTCAAACAGGTGCGGCCCGGCATGGATCTGAGCAAGGTGGTGCTGCCGACGTTCATTCTGGAACCGCGCTCGTTCCTGGACAAGCTGGCCGATTCGTACTACCATGCGGATATTCTTTCAAAGTAAGCTCAATGATGGAAAGAAACGGATTCGGTTCATGGGGGTTTGTATATCTACTGAAAGCCTTTAGGAGTTTAATTGATGGTTGTACGGACTTTGCAGCACAGACACCTGGAAATACCCTTTTAATTGACTTGGGATTAGCAGCTGCAAATCTGAATTAGGAAATTAGTTTGTGCGCTTAAATAGACGTAGTATAAAATGTTCAAAATTTGCGTGAATTCGTCGGGAAATTACTATACAAAAGGTTCTCAAATTTTCCTAGAATTTTCGTTTGAACACTCATGGAAACCTTATCAAATCTCCAAGAAGAACGATATCGGATTATGGTGAGCAAACTGCTAGTTATGAATTTGAGAAGTGTCGTCTCTTAGCACAACATTTTAGTAGTTCGTTCAGTGAGAACTTGATCCTACCAAACCAAGTTGGGGTAGTGACAAGCGATATTCCAAGAGATGATTCTTTGAGACATATAATTGGAAATTAAGTAGAGATGGGACAGAGTTATGCTTTTATGAGCTGCCATTATCTTAATCATTTCCTTTAAAATTCCCCAAAAACTTACCTAATGAATTTCTTAGAAAATTCTGAACGCATGTCAAAGGAAGTCCGTTTAAAAGTGTCTCAATGGTAATTTCTGATTTTTTTTTTTAAATTCTTCATGGGATTTACTGAAAATTTACTGAAATTTTTTTTTTTCTAAACACTGATGAAATTTTTTCCGAAATAATAACCCTTCATTTCCACAAATTTCGATTGATGCCACAAAGTGCAATCCCACTCCTTTTTCCAGAGCCGTCCTCGAGGACGACCCGTTCACGCGGATGAAAACCGTCGTACAGTGGTACCTATCCGGGTTCTACAAGAAGCCCAAGGGCCTCAAGAAGCCCTACAATCCGATCCTGGGCGAAACGTTCCGCTGCTTCTGGCAGCACGAGAACGGCAGCCGGACGTTCTACATTGCCGAGCAGGTCTCGCATCATCCGCCGATTTCAGTATTCTACGTCACGAACCGGCAGGACGGGTTCAGCATCAGCTGCAGCATTCTGGCCAAATCGAAATTCTACGGCAACAGTACTTCGGCGATACTGGAGGGGGTGGCCACGTTGACGCTGCTCCCTCGGGGGGAAAGCTACACCCTGACGGTGCCGTACGCCCACTGCAAGGGCATCCTGATGGGGACGCTCTCGATGGAACTGGGAGGGAAGGTTTCGGTCGAGTGCGAAAATACGGGCTACAAGACGGAACTGGACTTCAAGCTGAAACCGTTCCTCGGAGGCAACGAATATACCAATCTGGTAACCGGGAAGCTGAAGCTGGGCAAGGAAACGCTAGCGAACATTAACGGCCATTGGGATGGGGAGATTAGGATTAAGGATTCTCGAACCAGCGAGGAATCGGTGTTGTTCACTCCGTCACCGGAAGTTCGTAACAAACGGTTGAAGCGCTTCACTGTGCCAATGGAGTCGCAGGGAACGACCGAATCGGAGCGGCTCTGGCAACACGTTTCGGCTGCCATCCGGAGAGACGACCAGGTGGGTGCGACCGAAGAGAAGACGGCACTGGAAGAGGCTCAGCGCATCTCAGCGAAGGAACGGAAAGCGACCTGCTCCGAGTGGGTGCCGGGACTGTTCCAGCAAGATCTGGTTACTGGTCAGGTGAGTTTGTTTTTGAGGGTTTTCCGATAGTTCAAGACGTTAATTGTTTTATCTTCCCCGCGCAGTATCACTACAAGTACGCTGACCTCCGTCCGTGGGATCCGCGGAACGATCTGCGGCAGTACGAGTGCAACTACCGGATCCAAACCAAGACCCGGCACCAGGCGCCGATGGTACGGACGGCCTCGGTGGTCAGTGCCGAACCCCTTAGCATTCTGCAGGCAGAATCGCGTGGTTCACTGCGCAAGACGCGCATGGTGGTGGCCGGTACGGTTCTGAAAGCTCGCAAAATCTCATCCACCACGTCGACGCCGGATCTGAACGACCCGAACTCGGACTCTAGTCACTCGAATGAACATGACATTGGCATTTCCAATACTAGGTGAGTGTACAGCAAGTTTCTATCCCGAAACGATTCCCCGGTATATTAACAGTTTTAGTAAACGCAGGGTAATGCATACGCTGGACGACATCAACAAAAAGCTGGAGGAACACTCGAAGAAGCTCTGCAAGCTGCAGCTGGATATGGATAAAATCCACTGGGCTCCGAAGGGCCACGGCAGCGGCAGTGGCAGTTTAAGCGGTCTGCTGGCTCCCTCGAACCTGAAGATGATCGCGTACGGAGTGCTTGGTCTGTTGATACAGGTGCTGGTGGCATGGTTCCTAACAAAGCGATCGCTTGCCAGTGTGGCCAGTTTGCCCACGAGCGGCGATTCCGCGGGTGCTAGCGGCACTGGTGGTAGTCAGTAGAGAGTAGAGGTAATTTTTATTGGATTTTATCAAGCACTATTCTTGTTCGAAGACGAAACAATCAATACACAACATAACACACACACACACATACACAAATTGCCAATCATATGTTGACGATGTCGATGAGGATGGTCGGGATTGGGATTTCAAGGGGCAACGAGCAACCTAGCCACGATCCGATGGTGTGGAGCTCGAGCGACACGAATTGCCTAAAAGGTTTGCAAGTGTCGATAAAACCTATGTTTATGGAAAAAAGGAAATAGCTTAAATCTGAAATTCAGCAGCAATAAACACGAGTCAAAGGATTTTCATTGTAGTTGGAACACTAGGTATTATATAGGTTAAATTTTGAAATACATACATAAACATGATATGGTTCCCTTCAGAATTGATATTGTTGAACCAAACACAGAGCTTACGTTCCCGGAAGCGTTTTCACCTGGTCGTGTAAGCAAATTTTCTATGTGGCTTATTGTATTTGCGAAGTCCGGATTGAACTTAGGTGGTGATTTTTTTCAGTGTGGCATACTCAATGATTGTGGAGAATTTTGGATTGAGGACATGAAGAATTATTTAGTTGCTCGATTGAAAGGTGCCTCTTAAAATGATACGTCCGGATTATCCGTGGTATCGGATCCGGAATGTCTTTGCGATTACCTCCGTAATTTGCTTGTGATCAGCTCCTTAATTCCCTTGAGTTGTCCTTCGTAATTCCATTGAGATTGTCCCTTGGATTTATCTCCGGTATATCATTCAAATTACCTTTATAATTCCTTTGGAATTACCAGCTTATTCTTCTTATCTTATCTCTGTATTTTTCCCGGGATTACTTTCTTAACCTCATTTGGATTACCACCGTAAGCTCCTTGAGATAGCCTCCGTAATTTTTTTTGGAATTACCACCGTAGTTTCATTGAGATTGCATCCGTAATCTTTTAGGAATTACCTCCGTAATCTCCTTGACATGATCTCTGTAATCTATTTGGAATTATAACCGTAATCTCCTTGGGATCATCTTCGTAATCTTTGAAAAATTATACTCTTATCTTTTGGAGATTACCTTCGTAATATTAGCTGTGGAATGTCTTTGCGATTACCTCTGTAATTTCCATGGAATTGTCTCCTTAATTCCCTTGGGGTTTTCTTGAGATTGTCTCTGTAATTCCCTTTGAATTATCTCTGTAATCTTATTGAGATTACCTTTATAATTCCCTTGAAATAACCTCCGTATCCTCCTTGGGATAACCTCCGTAATGTCTTTGGAATTACCACCGTAGTTTCATCGAGATTTCGTCCGTTATCCTTTAGGAATTACCTCCGTAATGTCCATGGCATGACCTCCGTAACCTATTTGGAATTATCACAGTAATCTTATAGGGATCATCTCCGTTACTTTCTTGGAATCGTCTTCTTACTTTGTTGAGATTACCTTCGTAAGATTAGGTCCGGAGTGTCGGCGATCATCTCCTTAATTCCCTTGGGGTTTCCTTCGTAATTTTTTTGAGACTGTCTCTGTAATTCCCTTGGAACTATCTCCGGAATGTCATTTAGATTACCTTTCTAATTCCCTTGAAATTACCTCCGTATTCTCCTTGAGATTATCTCTGCATTTCTTTTAAATTACACCAGTAATCTTGTTAGGTGATCGCCGTAAACTGCTTGGAAATACTTCCGTAATTACCATCATAGTCTCATTGAAATTGCCTCCATAATTTGTTAGAAATAACCTTCATAATCTCTTTGGAATTACCTCCGTTATTTTCCTGAGATTACCTCCTAAATTACCTTGGGTTTTTCGTACGTAATTCCTCTGGGACTATCTCTGAATATCTCTTTGGATTATCGTTGTAATTCCCTGGGAATTATCTCCTGAATCTAATTTAGATCGCTTACCTGATTCCCTTGGGATTAGCCCCCTAAGCTTTTTGGAATAACCTCCGAAAACTCCATGGGATTACCCCCTAAGCTTTTTGGAATAACCTCCGTAATCTCCATGGGCGATATCCTAACAAGATTGCTGAGGTAAACTAAAAAATATTAGGGAGGTACTTTCGGGAAAAATACAGAGATAATTCTGTATTTTTCCCGAAACTACCTCCCTAGTATTTTTAAGTTTACCTCAGCAATCTTGTTAGGATATCGCTTTAATTTCCATGGGGTTACCATCGTGAGCTAATTGGGATTACCTCCGTAATTTCGTTCGAATTGAGATTGCCTTCGTAATGTCTTAAAAATTACCTCTTTGCTATTACTTCCGTAATCTTCCCAGGATCACCTCCGTAATCTATTTGGAATTACCATCGTCATCTCATTGGGATTATCTCCGATATCTTCTTGGAATTACCTCCATGATTTTTCTGAAATTATCTTCCTACGTAACTCCCTTGGGGCTTCCTACGTTATTCGCTTGGGATTATGTCTGCATTACCATTGGGATTATCTCTGTATTTTCCTGAATGTACCTCTCGTATCTCTTTGAGATTATCTCAGTAATTTTCTTAGGATATCGCCTTGATTTCCATGGAGTTGCCATCATGAGCTAATTGAGATTACCCCCGTAATTTAGGTCGTTTCACATTGCAATCACCTCCGTAATCTTCCTAGGATCACCTCCGTATCCTATTTGGAATTACCATCGTCATCTCCTTGGGATTGTGTGCGTTTTTCTGAGATTACCTCCTTAATTCCCTTGAGGCTTCCTACGTAATTCCCTTGAGATTATGTCTGCATTTCCCTTTCGGATTGTCTCTGTAATCTAATTGGAATCATCTCTGGAATTGAGTTGAGATTTCCTCTTGAATTTCCTTGTGATGAGATTACCTGCTTAATCACTTAGAAATTACCTTCGTAATCTTCTGGGTATTTCCACCATCATCTCTTTGGAATTACTAACATAGCCTCTTTGCAATTATCTCCATAATCTTCTTGAAATGACCTCTGTAATTCTTCTGGGAATACCTCCTCAATGTTCTTAGTGTTACCTTCGTAGCCTTCTTGAGACTGTCATCGTAAGCTTCTAAAGATTACCAGCGTAATTGCTCTGGAATTACCTTGGTTACCTCCTTGGGATTCCCATTCTTTTTAAGATTTCCTCAGTAATTTTGATAAAATATTACCTTTCCCTGGGGTTGCCAACGTCAACGATTATTTTTTTAAATTACCACCGTAGTTTCATTGAGATTACCTCCGTAATCTCTAGGAAATTATTTCTGTAATTTCCTTGGTATTACCACCATAATCTTCCTAGGATTATCTCCGTAATCTATTTGGAATAACCTCCGCAATCTGTTTGGAAATACCAAAGTAATCTAATTGAGATTATCTCCATAATCTTCTTGGAATTTCGTCCGTATTTTTTTTATAATCTCCCCAATCTCCTTGGGATTACCTCCATAAGTTTGTATAGATTATCTTCGTAATCTCGAAGGAATTACCTTCGTTATCTCCTTGGCATTTCCGCGATAATCTCTTTGACATTGTCTCCGTTCTTGGATAACCTCCGTAATCTTCTTGGGGTGACATCTGTATTTTTTCAGTAAATTATTTCAAATAGATTGATCTAGCACCGTAGTGTCATTGAGATTACCTCCGTAATCTGTTATAAATTATATTTGTAATCTCCTTGGCATTACCTCCATAATCTTCCTTGGATTATCTTGGTAATCTGGAGGCGAACCAGCCCAAGGCTGAAAGCCTCCCTAATAAAGATAAATAATAATAATAATCTTGGTAATCTATTTGGAAATACCACCCTAATCTCATTGAGATTATTTCCGTAATCTTCTTGGAATTTCCTTTGTATTTTTTTTTAATAACCTCCCCAATCTCTTCTGGACTTCCTCGGTAAGCTTGTGCAGATTATCTCCGTAATCTCTAAGGAATTACCTTCGTTGCCTCCTTGGGATTCCCACGGTAATCACTTTGACGTTGTCTCCGTTAATTTCTTGGAATAACCTCCGTATTTTTCTTTGGATTATCTCTCTAATCTCTTTGAGATTACCTCAGTAATCTTGTTAAGATATCGCTTTGATATTCCTGGGGTTGCTACCGGCAGCTTCTTGGGATTATTTCCGATTTTTTTTAAACTACCACCGTAGTGTTATTGAGATTGCCTCCGTAATCTCTTATACATTATCTTCGTAATCTCCTTGGTATTACTTCCTTAGATTATCTCCGTAATTTATTTGGAATATTCTCCGTAATCTGTTTGGAATGACAACCGTAATCACATTGAGATAATCTCCGTAATGTTCTTGGAATTACTATTTTTTATAACCTCCCAAATCTCCTGGGGATTACCTCTGTAAATTTGTGCAGATTATCTCCATAATCTCTAAGAAATTTGCTTTCGTAATCTCCTTGGGATTTGCACCGTAATCGCTTTGAGATAGTCATGGTAATCTCTGTAAACTTTTTATGAATAATTTCCGTAATCTTCTTCAAATTACCTCTGTATTTTTCGTGGGATTACCTATCTAATCTTCTTGAGATTACTTCCGTCATCTTCTTGAAATTTTCGCAGTGATTTCCCTGGGAATAACACCGTATTGTATTTGGAATTACCTCCTTAATCTCTTTGGAATCACCACCAAAGTCTCATTTAGATTGCCTCTTAAAGCTGTTCGGAATTGCCACCGTAATATTCGTAGCATCATCATCTTCGTATTTTTTCTAGGATAACCTTTTCAATATGCTTAAGATTACCTCCGTAATCCATTTGGGGTTACTACCGTAATCTCTTTGGAATTGTCTCCCTAATCTCCTTGGAATAACATCCGTATTTTTTTTTCGGGACTATCCCACCTATCTTCGTGGGATTACCTCCGTAACATTCGTAATCTTCCTACCTCAATCTCTTAGTAATTATCTTCATAGTCTCTTTTGGATTACCTCCCCAGTTCTCCCTTTCTGTTTTCATTCGAAATTCTAATGCCATAATAAGAAAAAAACGACCACGGTGAAAGCCTTCCACCACCTTAAATTTACACCAACCACCCATATGATAACGCTGATAACCGCTATAGCTAGCAAGGACACCAACCCAGTTAGTCAGGAAAACATTTACCCCATCTCGCGCGAGCCGCAAAAAATCGCATCGGAAGCAAGCCATAACCCATTACGCCGACCAAAAAACGAAAGCTTATCCCCCGCGTATAGCATTAGGCATTAGTCCAACCGATATAGATGCAGTAAGTGAGAGCTTTCCGCAAAACTTTCACCCGATAGAAGAGAGCTTTTTTTTCACAGTGTAGTAGTGCAGCAGCAGCAGTAGCTTTTATCCCTCATCCATCCCGCGTAAAAGCGAATCTATACTTACATTCCTGGCTGATGGCTGTTAGGGGTCGAGCAAAAACACTGTGACAAAACGACCCGCTTAATTTGGCAAGAAACTCACACTGAACAATTAACGTTACAAATTACACGAAAAAGTCTAGCCTGAAATTAGTCTATTAACAGATGAATGATATCGATCAAAAATGTTCGCAAGTCTATCGAATGCAATATACCCTTACGTGTAGGAGAAAGGCGAAAGTCAGATAATCTATTCAGGCAAGTGCAAACATAATAATGATAAAACCAATTGGAACGTGATAGGATAGCAAGCGGTATATAGATACATTTGGATATGAAAATACGTTGCGTAGTTTAGTTTCAGACATTTGTCATACTTAGAAACAAGGTACGAACCGCCGAGTTCAGAATTTAAAAAAATACCTCTACTTTATTTCCGGGTGATTTGTTCTGGAACGTGAAACACAATCGATTTAGTTTTTTTTTCGAGAAATTTGTGTCATTCGAATGGTGTGTATTATTGTGTCCTACTGAGAATTTTACTTTTTAAGGTGTATAGAAGCAAACTTATTTAATTAGAAAAACGTTTGGAAGGTTTCTCCCCCCCCCCAATTAATGATTGCAAGTTTTGGTGTACTGTATAACATATAAAATACCAACGGAAATATAGGTATATGATTTACAATATTACTACTTATACAATCCCCCTCTTGATGGTTTACGTATTTAGGGTCGGAGGGTAAACGGAACAGCAGTACTATTATCTATCTCTAGCGTGGCATTGTTGTTGTACCAGTATCGAATCGGAGTTAGTCGTGATTTTCTTTTGGTTCCCCAGAGAGAGTAAAAAGGGTGATGAAATCCAAAAATTAAACTAATTGAAACTAATATCAACAATCAGAGTGCAACGTATACACGCAAGCGGAAGGCTAAGTTAAATTTAAATGATAAATTAACAAATGATATAATTATTCAAAACTTTATGAATTGATACAAACAAACAAACAAACAAACAAAAACAAAACACTGAAAGCTCGCGCAGCCAGAGGCGATGATCTAAATTATTAATTAATTAAATTGAATTGTTACTGAAACGAATAAAAATTAAACTGGTTACATTAGTTGCTTTGTGTGAGTGTGTTCTGGATTATTTGGTTATAGATGACATCCTTGTTGGTATTGAACAGAAGTTTTTTTTTTTAATTTGAGAAATAATCTCATCCATCCTGGTTTGCTGTAACTTAGTTTTCATGCGTGTGTTCCGAAACATACCAGCTTCTTGGCACAGATACATATTAGGGTAAGTTGGAGCAAGATGGGTCAGCTAGTAAATTAATGAATTAATTTGTCAAAATCAACAGCTTCAAAGCAACCCTCTTTTTCAAACCAACATTGTGGCTACAATGAGCCTGTTGATGATGAAAATAAAAATAAAAAATCAAGTAGATGACCCATCTTGCACCAACTTACTCTATGTTCCTTGTCAATTTATATCTTGATGTCCAGAAAATGCTGTAGTTCGTTCAAGTCCGTTATCTCAAATCTCCATTTTAGCCGTTCTTTCGTCTATGGTGCCGCTGGCAACACTGGTCTGCAGCAACATGACACTCAGTCAGAGAAGTAACCGCAAATTACCTACAGCATGTTTATTCAACAGCAACCCATCGATGAAATCGCCGAATATAAATCGCCTACTACCTTGAAAATTTCGATGGTTTTGTGTTATCACATGGTAATATTAGTATTGAAGTATCTAGAATTCAATCGGAGTATAAATGAACGGACAGGCATCAAGCATTTTATTAGATTGCCTTTTCCTGGTACAGTTCCAGAAGGGAAAGGTGACGCTCAAGGCGTTGAAAGCCATCCGCGCCATAAATTCCATCATCGTCCGCTGGGAGCCATACCGTGGCGGCATCAAGATGTGACTCAGTGCCAACGGTGTCTGAACTTTGGACACGGCATCCGCAACTGCAACATTAAGCCACGCTGCGGCAATTGCGCTCAACACCACGCCACCTCCGAATGTGCTGTGGATGAAGCTGTGGCGTCCAAATGCGCCAACTGTGGTGGTGCTCACCAAGGATTCAACAAGCAGTGCCCTAAACGCGAGAATTTCAAAGAAGCATCCGAAAAAAGGCGTCCACCAACAATCAACCAGGACGAAGAAAGGATAAGGCCCTGACTTTCAGGACGGAGGACTTTCCACCTCTTCATGGACAAGCGAATTCGCGGGTGCAACCAGCCCCCCCTTCAAGAAGCTTCCGGTGATTCTGCTGGACAAAGATCTCCACCCCCCCCCCCCCCCCCCTGGATTCTGGAAACACCCAACAGTGAAAAACAACAACCCTGATCTGTTCTCAGCGAATGAACTGATAGAAATTTTCGTCAACACTGTGCTTTTCGCAAGTGCCGTAATAAGCCCGAGGAAATCCAAGTCCTCGGTAAGTTCATCATCCAGTACATCGGAAGCAAGCGGAAGTTCATCCCGGTCGAGCTCAATGGTGTAGCAGTCAAACTTCAACACGACTCGGCGTCCGACATCACCATAATCTCAGAAGAAACATGGATCAGCATCGGACAGCCACCCACTCAACCGACGGAAGAATCTGCAGTTACAGCTTCTGGTGGCAATCTCAACCTTCTCGCTGAGTTCCAGACCGAGATCACCATCAAGAATGTTACCAAGACTGGTCGCATTTTCATCTCAAGCAGTGCTGAACTCAACGTTCTAGGAATCGAGACTATGGATCTGTTCGATTTGTGGTTTGTGCCGATAAGCAGCTTGGTCAACGTCGTACACCAACGTTCTGATCAGTTCACCAATCAACTCAAGCAACAGTTTCCGGAAGTTTTTCGAAGCACGCTGGGTAGATATACAAAAGCGCAAGTGAAGTTGTACCTCAAGCCTGACGCACGTCCTGCATATTGCCCGAAACGACCAGTAGCGTACGCTGCACTCGTCAAGGTGGACGCAGAACTTGAGAGGCTCCAGCAAAACGGTATAATTTCTCCAGTTCAATTCTCGGACTGGGCAGCACCAATAGTCGTCGTACGCAAGTCGGACAATGTATCAGTCCGTGTATGTGGCGATTATTCGACGGGACTGAACAACGCGCTAGAATGTGACCATCATCCACTGCCTCATCCTGACGACCTCTTTGCGGAACTAGCTGGAGCACGTTACTTCACTCATCTCGATTTGTCTGACGCTTACCTACAGGTCGAGGTCGAGGAGGAATCGCGAAAGCTACTCACGGTCAACACGCATCGTGGACTGTTCCAGTATAACCGACTACCCCCCGGAGTCAAGTCGGCACCCGGCGCTTCCCAGCGCATCATCGACAGCATGGTGGCCGGCATCCCTGGAGTCAAGCCGTATTTGGACGACATCCTCATCGCTGGTCGCACCAAGCAGGAACACGATCGCAGTCTCTACGCTGTTCTCGAGCAGATCCGTGAGTATGGCTTTCACCTACGCCTCGAAAAATGTCGTTTCGCACTCACCCAGATCAAGTTTCTCGGACACATCGTGGATAAGGACGGTATTAGGCCTGACTCTTCAAAAACAGAAGCCATTTCCAAGATGCAGTCTCCGAAGGATGTCCAGCAACTTCGTTCCTACCTCGGTGCTGTCAACTACTATGGTAGATTCGTTAAGCAGATGAAGCAACTCAGGGCTCCTCTGGACAGCCTCCTCAAGAAAGATGCAAGCTGGAACTGCCAGAAGTCTTTCGAGTAGCTCAAGGCCATTCTACTTTCCGACCTGCTGCTTACACACTACGACCCGTCCAAGGAAATCGTTGTTGCAGCAGATGCATCGAAGTACGGCCTTGGCGCTGTCATCATGCATCGATTCCCGACCGGTGAAGTGAAGGCAACTGCGCACGCCTCGCGCTCACTGACCCCAGCAGAGATGAACTACGGACAAGTGGAGAAGGAAGCATTGGCCATGATATTCGCTGTCACCCGTTTCCACAAAATGCTGTATGGACGACACTTCCTCCTGCAAACCGATCATCAACCGCTACTCAAGGTTTTCGGCTCAAAGAAAGGTATTCCTGTTTACACAGCAAACCGTTTGCAGCGCTGGGCCTTGACACTTCTGCTGTACGATTTCGACATCCAACACGTTTCATCGACGAATTTTGGCTATGCAGATTTTCTATCCCCGCTAATGTCATCGCAGCATAGACCAGATGAGGATTACGTCATAGCCGCCGTGTGCGTCGAATCTGAAGCAAAAGCAATTCTCGACGACACCATCAGTCACGCACCAGATGATTGTGGCTGAAACTCGAAAGGATCCAGTTCTTCAGCAAGTGGTGAATTTCCTTAACGAAGGTTGGCCAGCAAATGCGATGCAAGTTGCTGATCCTGATGTCAAGAAGTTTTTCGCCAGACGAGATGGACTTCAAGTTGTCGACAACTGCGTTATGTTCGGCGATCGAATCGTCGTCCCATCAAAGTTTCGAAAGCAGATCGTTCGTCAACTGCATCGTGGACACCCAGGAATGGACCGAATGAAGTCTCTGGCCTGAAGTTACATCTAGTGGCCTAACGTTGACGACGATGTGGAGCAATTTGTCCGTCAGTGCACTGCATGTGCTGAAGCAGCGAAGTCCCCGACAAAAGCAACCTTGGAGTCATGGCCTCTCCCGGACAAGCCATGGCAACGTGTCCATATCGATTTTGCTGGTCCGATTCATGGATACTACTATTTCGTCATGGTAGATGCTTTCTCTAAGTGGCCCGAATTTTTTCGCACTCAATCCATTACCACAACTCCAACCCTGAATATGCTGCGTGAAACGTTTTCCCGTTACGGCAACCCAGACACATTGGTTTTAGACAACGGAACGCAATTCACCAGCGAGCAGTTTCAACAGTATTGCCGTGCAAATGGTATCACCTATCTCCGCACTGCTCCCTACCACCTGCAGTCCAACGGCCAAGCGGAGCGATTCGTTGATTCACTCAAGCGTGGCCTCAAGAAGCTAGCCAGGGGGGAAGGATAACCCACACTGGAGCACCTACAGACATTCCTTTCGGTGTATCGTTCAATCCCAAACCGAAACACACCGCAGTCGACGTCTCCAGCAGAAGCATTCCTTGGAAGACCAGTGCGCACCACTTTGGACCTACTGAAGAAACCTGTTCCTGTAACTGAAGCTGTCAAGAACCACAAACAAAACGAACAGTTCAATTGGCGGCATGGAGCAGTCAAGCGCGAGTTTGAAGAAGATGACCTGGTCTACGTTGAACAGCATCGCAGAAACGCCAAGTCCTGGATTCCTGGTCGAGTCATCGAACGGAAAGGTTCCGTCAACTATATCGTTGCACTGGACATGAACGGGAGACCGAAGCTGGTGAGGTCACATGTAAACCAAATGCGCCCTCGTCACACTTCTGATGATCCAGAGCAAGCGACGCAGCAACTACCATGGGAAATCCCGCTTGATGAAATTCAAGATGAAGCTGTACCGTTGGATCCAGAAATGCCATTCAATCACGATGTCCCTATTCCTGTTGGTTCCGTATCACTCGAAGCTGATGGTCAAGTGGCGAAAATCCTTTTTCGACAATCGATCATGAACCTGCTGCTCAAGATGGAGAACTTCAGTCCGCACAAAAGCCCGTGTCATCTGAAGCAGTTGGAGACTTTATTCGACGTTTTGTACGAGAATCAAGAATTACAAGATGGTTCTCTTCCTATGACATTTTCTAAAAAGGGGGAGATGTAATCATGAATTTGCATCATGGATGGCACAAGGGTTGAGTGGTCTGCCGAAGTAACCTATATCGGGATGTTGTTCGATGAAAAGCTCCTTTTCCGTTCGCATGCATGTACAGAAATCCATAGTCAAGTTTCTGCCTTGGTTAGATGTCTGTATCCGCTGATTTGTCGCGGATCCCGCCTCTTAAGGGTGAACAAACTGTGAATGGTTACAACAACTCGAGTTAAGGTATGATGCGATATGAGGGGCTCGATAACCTTAAAGCGATCGTTTTTGCTTGCTGAGCAGAACAACATGAGTCTACTTTCAGGTCCATCCACATTCAAGATTCGTCAATCGCTTTATTTGTTAATATGACTACATGGTAATAACAACAACTCGATGATTAAAAAGGAGCTCGTTTGTCTAGTGGCAAACGTTTCTGCTTACTGAGCATAAGATCATGGGTTCAATCCAAAGCTCCTTCGCACTATATGATCGTTAGGACATCAATTCAGCTTATTGTTTACCAAAACGAGCCCTGCTGCAAACCCAACCCTCTTATCCAACATCCCAGTGATTCCTCGTGGAAGTGCAGAGGTGTTCTCGGCTTCCATCAAAGCGAGTGTCATGTCAACACATTCATACCCCTTCCTTTCTTGACCTGTGTTCGGGCGCGGTCGGTGCTGGTATTGAGGATGTTTGATAGTCCCAAGCATCGTCTATTGGTTCTCTGTGTAATTACAGTTGAGCTGGCAATAACAGAGTAGCAACCGTGGCCGGTCAATCATGCTCATGCTCAACTGTTGAGATTAAAATAACGTGATATTGCAATCATTTCAACACTTTATTTTTATGCTAACAACCGGGAAATTTCTTGATGGGCGTTGGCCAAATTTGGATTTTTCAGATATAATCCTAAATAGGACCTAGATTCTGAAGCCTGGCCAAGTGAGTGGGGTATGGGTTTATTTGATTGAAAGTCATTTCCAATGTATATATTGATACATTCAAACCATTGGCATTTGAGATAAGACAGAGATAGGATGCGGAGGGCCCGCTTAGGGGAAACGTAACCCATGTTATGGTTTCCATTTATTAAATAGTTCAGATAGGCTAGAAATGACAGGTTTATAGTGAGAGAATGTACCATATTGGGAAAGCATAATTTTCATAGGGTTCAGAGCGGCTGAGCTGTTCGTTTGTAGTTTGACCTTCCTTCAAAACCAATTTGGCTCTAGAACAATTTTATACTTGTTCTGCATTATTCACATGTTGCAATTATTGAAAAAAGCTCGCTATAAGATAGCCACAGAGAACAGACGTTGAGGCTCCAAAATTTCTCTAAAAACATGTGTAAAGATTCCTATTCGACTTAAGCGCCACTAACGGCGACTTCCCCACTTAAAAGCCCTCTTTGACAACATGATGGCGCTGGCGTTGCAAAACTTACACTAGACACTAAGTGCTGGTAGCGCCAAGTGGCAATTTTCAGCAGATAATTTATCGATGCTATCGCTACGTAACGGCAACGTTCCACTTAACTTTACACAAGTTTCTGACCGAACTTGGACGTCTGGTCTCTGTGAGATAGCTTAATACAATTGAATAGAAATGCCAAAATCTTACCGAGTAGTTTAGCTGTTCTGATTTCGGTACAGTTTGTTACATTTTGAAATAACTCATATTAGCACAGAGTAATAGTTTTATTGCTAGGGAACTTTCTTTTGGGATCGTCTTTTCTTCGTACAATTTTCATTTTTCATACTATATATTAATCATGATCAGTCTTGGAAAATGTTATATGTTTAAGCCCTGTTCTAGATTTGTTTGTTATTCATATCTTATGCATTGCAGCTCGCGAGAGGTTACCAAATATGGGTTCTTTTTCTCATCCACAATAGTTTGGGGGGAGGGGGGCGATCTGAAAGCTGAATAGAGGCAAATAAAATAGGGAACACAACACCATGACCCAAACGACTAACCAACGCATGCGGCTCACACTTAACTTGTTCTATTTCTTTCTTCCCCTCATATACCAATATTACCTACCTGAGAACAAATGGTGTTCCCCGGCCAGATTTTCAATAGGAAGAAGGGAAAAAAAGTGAGAAAACGTGAACAAGAAGAAAGTAAGCAGTCAGAAAGGATTAGGCCATTTGGAAATAGCCAATTTATACTGGACGGAACTGGTAAGTAGGATAAAAATTGTAAAAGGTGTGTGCTTGCATGATTTCCCTATTTTAGAATTACCTATAAGCCACATGAGAGCCTCATTTCCTTCAATTACTACTCCATTGCAGCACAAACCTAATAATGATCACTAACATTCATATAGTTTCAGCATTTTCGACATTTGTAATCAAAAGGTGAGTTGTAAAGTATAATTACCATGCATAGATATAAGTTAATGTACCAGAACCTGGGCGGACATGAGCCTACCCAGGGGAGGACCCGGATACGACCACCCATGTGTGTCTAGAGTATCGCACGAGCTGACGAGTGCAACGGGAAGGACAGTAGGTGTATATACTAGGGGGCTAGTCCCTAGATAAGCCAACTTAGCGGTTGGCACAGCCTATACACTGAACAATTACAATTACAATTACAACCGGGAAATTTCTTAAACCGGGAAAAACGGGAGAGTTCCAGAATGAAAATTCAATGGCCATCCTGCCATCGCGATGACGGTACTTAGAGCTACGCGTGAAATGATCCCTCTTTTCTGCTCGAAACGAAGCTGGAAAATAAAATAAAGTCTAAAAGTACAATATATCAACCCCAAAACAATAACGATAGTTAACAGTAGTACCTACCTAGGTGAAAATAAAAGAACAAAAAGACCGCACCAACGTCCACTCACTTGGCAGATCCCGGTTTTTGTTTCACCCACCCAAACAATCCCATTCACATCAGATTATTAAAATAATTTCCAATAAAATGTTCCACCCACTCGACGGTTTTCTACTTCTTTTTTTATAAGCCCATCAAAGGCAGTGAGTGCATACGGTGCATGTGTCAATCTCTGTATCGGCGGCTGCCGACCGGTGGGTGGATGGTGGTTGAACAGCAACACACAACACAATCTCAATAACAATGGCGAATGAGAATAGCATGGAAACAATCGCGAGACAAAAAAAAAAAAAAAACAAGAGACTGATTCAAGTGAACCAAAAAATTATGTTTATCCATAATTGAATATGGTGGTTTTGGTCTCGCCGAAGCAGTTTTTTTTTTAATTATTGTGTGGGGATAACACTTTTTTCGATATCCGTTAAATTAATAGCACCGTGGTGTTATATTTTTCCGTGCGACTAGTTTTCGCACGGGTTCAATAATTTTAAATAAAGTCACACATCACCCCGATCTACAGGGTTGTTACAGAGATCCCGGTTTCATAATTCGCATAATCCATGCCACGACATTAGGTTGTGGCGCTGTCGTCCCGATGTCAACACAGCTATACTAGGAGCCGAGTTTCTTTCCTTTTGCAAAACCGTCGTCTTATCGATGCTACTACAAGCCCAAATGCCGTCGGTGGGGTGGTAAGTTCATCACTTTATGGAGTAACAACAATCAACTTGCATCATCCATTTCGACAGTTGTTGGAAGAGTTCGGCGAAATAACGCGGCCAGCAACTATGCGTTCGGAAATCCAACATGATGTTACTCACCACATTACAACAAAAGGACCGCCTACTGCCAGCAAAGCCCGTCGCATGGCACCGGACAAGTTGAAAGCGGCTTAGCAAGAATTTCAATTGATGATGAAGCTCGGTATTTGTCGCCGGTCAAGCAGTAGTTGGGCAAGCCCGCTACATTTTGGTCAGCTTCGATTTGTGGGAGATTATCGTCGATTAAATCAAGAACCTGTTCCTGACAGATATCCAGTCCCACACATTCACGACTTGCTGAACTCCTTTTGCGGTAAGTCGATTTCCGGTACCATTGATTTACAAAGAGCTTACCATCAAATTCCTGTAGAACCAAGTGACATACCTAAGACGGCAGTTATTACCCCGTTCGGACTATTTGAGTTCACAAGAATGCAGTTCGGGCTTGTAACGCTGGACAAACCTTTCAAAGTTTCATGCATCGAATCTTCGAAGAGTTGGAGTTTGTTGTCGTGTTTATTGACGACATTTGTGTCGCCTCTTTCTCATTAGAAGAGCATCGCTTACTTTTGCGCATCGTCTTAGATCGCCTTCGAGCAAATGGACTAGTTACCAACTTGCAGCAGTGTAAGTTTGAACAAGAAGAAGTGGAGTTCATCGGCTACAATGTAGGAAAGGATGGAGTTCGGCCGCTTCCCAGCCGTGTAGTAGCAGTGACTAATTATACGCGCCCGGAAACAATCAAACAGCTGCGAAGATTTTTGGCTCTCGTAAACGGTTATAAGCGATTTATACAACAACCAACGGATATGCAAGCAGCTCTGCGGGACCTAATACCTGGAAATGAGAAAAATGACCCGATAGTAATCTGTTTGGATGACCAACAGCAGCCATCAAAGCGTTTGAAAAATTGTAAGACAGCTTTAGCAGAAGCAACACTTTTGTACTACCTGGGCACTACGAAACCGCTAGAGCTGATGGTAGACGCCTCGAACACCGCTACACTGCAACAATTTGCAAACGGATCGTGGCAACCTTTAGGCTTCTTTTCTGAGAAATTCAATACAGCACAACGAGGCTATTCAACATTCGGAAGGGAGCTAATGGCTATCAAGATGGCTGTTCGATATTTCCGGTACATGCTTGAAGGTGGTGAGTTTACTATCTTTACAGACCCCAACCCGTTGACACACGTGCTAACGTCGAATTCATCCAGCCGGTTGCACCATGAGGAGCGTGCGTTGCAGTACACATCACAGTTTACGACTGACATTCGACACATCAGTGGAAAGAACAACATAATAGCGGATGCACTCTCAAGAATCGAAGCAATTGGTGTGCCCTTACCCGTAGACTATAATCTGCTTGCGGTAGACTAGGAAAACGATCCAGACCTGCAGAAGCTTCTCATTT